AGCGGGAGGGGCTGGGTCCTCCTCAGGAGCGTCTTCAAGCTCCTCGTCTTCCGGCGCCGGGGCTTCGGGCACTGGGGGCTCCAAGGGTGGAGCTTCGTCCTCCGACGCGCTGTAGCTAAGCTCGTCGTCCGGGTGGGCCATCTAAAACACAAGCGGGTGGCGAACCCATGGTTTAGCCGATTTGTTTTGGTTCTAAAGTTAATTGTCCGCTGTGCCAACTTTGCTGTAAGCTACTCGAGCCTGCAGCGAATTGACGTAGCGTTTTCGTAAAACTGACGACGACACGAATCAGCTGACAGCAACGAAAACTAGCTGTGCAACCCGCTGCGCGGCTCTGAAAGAAGCAGTACCAATGCAAATCAGCTGCGCCCTCTGTGATGCAACTCAGAAACGAGCTAACAATTGCTGCAAAATCAGCTGCGCCCTCTGTGGCACACCTCTGATTCAGCTGTCAGCAAGGCAAACCAGCTGCACCCTCTGTGACAAGCTCACAACCAGCTTGTCAGCAGCACAAACCAGCTGCACTCTCAAGCGCAGCTCTAAATAACCTGTCAGCGGTGCAAAATCAGCTGCGCTGCGCTCTAAACTGCCTGTCGAACAAAACGAATCAGTCGCGCTGAGCGCTAAACAACCTGATCAATGTGCAAACCGGCCTGCAATTTGCTGAACGTTTCTGCACGTAACCTGTCGATGCACAACCAGCCTGCAGTCTGCTGTCCACGAGCAACTCACGCTGTCGACACTGCCAACCCGACAAGAAAACTTGCTGCCTTCACGACCAACAACTTGCCGAGCATGCAAACCAGTCTGAAATGCTGACAGCCTGTCAATCCGACGCTACGTTTATTTTAAAAACAACTTGCAACAATACAATTCAGCCTGGCTGCAGACTTGGCGCATACTCAAGCAATTCTGACGTTCAATGCCAATCAGCAATACAATGCTGAAATGATCCTGACGCCACTGCTAATCAGCCTAGCAATGGTGCCACTCTGCGCTATCCTGCCAACAGCGCATGCAATCCTAAAACGATGTCACAATGTAGCGCTTATGCTACCCACGGCAATGCCAAGCAATGACAATGCGATACAATGCCACCAAAGCAATAGAAGCTCAAACAATGCTATACAATGCCATACAAACAATGCAAGCAATGCCGCTCTTAGAGGGCAGCCCTCTCGGGACTGCCCCGCAATTCTGCTCCTATGCTACAGTATCCTCTGCAGCCCTGCTCTCGG